GGAACAAACCTGAATGATGGTAGTGTAGTATTTGGTTCTTCGATGACTTCATTCTACAACGACTCTATCCTATTCAAAATTAGGCTCTACGTATATCATCACAAGCCTTTCCTTCCTCCCCAGTTGTAACCTTGGGACTTGAGCCTGGTATTTATCCAGTCCACTATGCCCATCTACGGATGGACTACCTACACTTTAAACGTCTTACCCTGCTTCCTCTTAACCAACTTTTGCAGTGTACACAGATAGACGTGCAATATACTTCAGCTACAGTGTGGCCCGGGCCCGGGCACAAACTTCATTTGCTGCCTTAGCACCCTGTTTCTGATTCCCATCCATTAACGTTACATTTACAAATTCCTCCATTTTTATCATATCCTACTATTTTTTTTTCTTTCCAAAGCTTCATTGTCCCCAAGTGCTGTTCCTATTACTTTTGCAGGCTTTAGACAGCTAAACTATTCAGTTTTTCAGAAATTTTAGCGTTTCTTTTTTATTATAATAATAATTTAAAAAATTACAGATGAGTCAAATAAACTCCCCAGTCAATCTTCTCTTACCTATAAATGCGCTGGAAAACGCGCAGAGAAGGATGACCAAGTTGATTTCTTGTATGCATGACCTAGGCTGGTCAGACGTCCTGCTCTGAGGCAGGACAGTCGTACTTTGAGGCAGGACAGTCCTGCTTTGAGGCAGAACAGTCCTGCTTTGAGGAAGGACAGTTCTGCTTTGAGGCAGGGCAGTTCTGCTTTGAGGCAGGGCAGTCCTTCTTTTGAGGCAGGACAGTCCTGCTTTTGAGGCAGGACAGTCCTGCTTTTGAGGCAGGACAGTCCTGCTTTTGAGGCAGGACAGTCCTGCTTTTGAGGCAGGACAGTCCTGCTTTTAGGCAGGGCAGTCCTGCTATTAGGCAGGACTGTCCTGCTTGTAGGCAGGACTGCCCGCTTGCAGGCAGGGCTGTCTTGCTTGCAGGCAGGACTGTCCTGCTTTTAGGCTGGACAGGCCTGCTTTTAGTCACTGTCCTCCGGCCTGTGTCGCCTCAAGCAGGACATTAATTTGTCCTTTTTGGGGTCTGTCTAAAAAGAATTACATAAATTACGTTACGTACACTAAAATAGAGGGAATTGAAGGGCACAATGACCATTGGCGCACTTTTATTATAATTTTATGTAGTTGCCATTGGCAACACTACACTCGGAGCTGCAGTGTACGTGTACGAGTCAATACACGAGTCAAGCTATCAATCAAGTACACGTCAGAGATGAATATCAAAATGGTATACAATACCGACAAGTTGGTAAGACACATGCTTAAATGTTGCCTATGTGTCTTACCAACACGTCAGAGCTGCATGACCCCAGTAGGTTTAGAGCTAGGTTTTGATTAAAATAATAATTATAGTAGTACACTCAGTCTGAGAGGAGTGATTAACTTTATTAGGAAAAATACTACAAAATAGCCTTTTTTTTTATTTTATTTTATTCGCCGGTACTCTCTCGGCCCGGGTCTTTTCCAACAGTGGTGACCCGGCCTTGGCTCCCTGTCTGGGGAGTATCTCGAGACTTAAGTCTCCCATGGGAGGAGGTACAAGTACCCCCTCATCTTTGGGACCAACTGTCCCCAGGCCTAACCACAGTCCCCGCCCTCACGGGGCTCGTAGGGAGAAGCTAGGCCCCTGGTCTGCCATCTGCCCCTCATGCCATCGCTGTGTACACAGATGGCTCTAAGTCTTCTGACGGCGTCGGATTTGCAGCAGTGTTTCCGGACAGTGTCGTGCGAGGGCATTTACTAACTTCGGCTAGCATTTTTACTGCTGAATTGTATGCCATTCTTGCAGCACTTATTCGTATCGCATCTATGCCTGTGTCATCATTTGTGGTTGTCTCAGACCCCCTTAGTGCTCTACAGGCTATACGGAAATTTGATACACCTCACCCCTAGTTCTCCGTATCCAACTTTGGCTACGCCGTATCTCTACCAAGCATAAAGATATTATTTTTTGTTGGGTCCCTGGTTATGTTGACGTACAAGGCAATGAACAGGCAGACACTGCTGCGCGGTCAGCAGTACATGACCTACCAATTTCATATAGAGGTGTTCCATTTCCAGACTATTTTGCTGTAATAGCTACCCACCTTCACACCCATTGGCAACAACGTTGGTCAACTTTACTCGGTAACAAACTTCATTCTATTAAACCGAGCATAGGTTACTGGCAGTCTTCTTGTCATCAGTGCCAAGGTTGGGAGACTACTCTCTCCCGCCTTCGCATTGGCCATACTCGTCTTACTCATGGGTATCTCATGGAGAGGCACCCTGTTCCTCTCTGTGAGCAGTGTCAAGTTCCAGTATCGATTAGCCATATTCTGTTAGACTGTCTTCTCTATCAACGAGCACGCAGAATTTACCTCCAACGTCGTCTCCGCTCTTCTACTCTTTCTTTACCTTCCCTTCTTGCTGATGGACGCTCCTTTAATCCTGACTCTCTCTGCATTCTCCAGAGAGGCGAAGAATTAGGGAATGTACATAAATGGTATACAATACCGACAAGAATTAGGGGATGATAGGACTGAGGAAAACAGAATAAATAAAGGGGATACAAATAACATGCTAAAAATTTCCAACCAAGACGACTTGCAGCAATGAGTTCAAGTTGGAAAAAAATTAGATTTAGAAAGGATATAGGAAAGTATTGGTTTGGTAATAAAGTTGTGGATCAGTTGAACAAACTCTCGAGTAGCGTCATTGAAGCTAAAACCTTGTGTAACCTTAAAAATATTGCGTAGTTTGGGCCAGTAGGCCTGCAGCAGTGCGCTTTCCTTAAGTGGGTGTGATTTGGACCTGCCTAGCATAGGCCAGTAGGCTTAAAACAGTGTTTCTTTCTCTTAAGCAATAAAGCTTATTTTCATTCGGGTAATTCGATAGGATGTATGTAAGTCACAAGCATGGAACCCTCGCCTCAAAACAAACATATCCAGAAACGAGAGAAAATACAGGTATTCGTTAGGAGACAAATCTCGAAGCTAAGAGAACTATTCCATGATGAAAGACTAAAAAAGGTATACCCTTAAAAACATTAGAAATGTAAGGGAAGATATGATTACGATGTACATGATAGTTAGAGAACTCGATAGAGCAGACAAAAAGATAATGTTTTTAAAAAACAGAATCGGGAACAGGATAGCAAAATTTGAAGTTTAATATTTACGCACATGCATCACAAATGTCAGAAATTAAAAAGTGGTCGAAATGGAGTCGATAAAGGGCTTTAAGAGTACGTATTATAGGGCCTGTGAAGGGAATAGTGTGACCGTTTACGGGTAAGATAAGATTTGTTTGGATTTTTAACCCGGAGGGTCAGGAAAGTCAGTATATCATCGAGGACTGTCTTATTTCTGTTGGAGTTCATCAATCTTGTTCCCCAGGATGCGACCCACACCAGTCGGCTTACACCCAGGTACTTACTTGCTGTTAGGCGAACAGGGGCAGGAGATTTAAGGAAACACGGACAGCATTCCACCCATGTCGGGGATCGAACCATGGACACTCGGTGTGTGAGGCCAGAGCGTTGCTAACCAGAAGTGGGGCCAGGAACCGAGACCCGATACCCACGGCCACAAATAAGTGAATTCTTCTAGGTAAATATGGGCAAGTGTGACTTGCCCATACGCCTCGATCTCTTGGGAATCGAACCTGAGTCTATTTGACTGTAAGACTTACGCAAGGTGAATGACGCTGACATACCTTCAAATTGCAACATTCTTATAATGAGAATGACTTGACTCCATAAATATAATTAGCGTTATATAGCAACCTTGAACATATTTGCAAATCCAGCAATTTTTTTTTGATCGTATACGATGCTTTAATATTATATATATATACTTGACTGAAATAGTATTTTGAAAGTTCACTGGGAAATATCGACATAGTATGAGAGACCCGACGTAAGATGTATAAAATACCGATGTTGTGTTTAACAAATTATGTTTTTCAACAAAGTAAGAGATAGAGACGGAATGAATGAAGTAATAATAGCCAAGCTTTGACTAGTGTAAATTAAGTATCTTTTTTTTTATTTGCTAGCGTATATTGCTGCTCAAATGTGACCTCAATTTTTGCTTCTTGCATTTTATATTGTTAATTATAAGTTACCTATTACTACTTAGGTGTAGCATTATCACAGTATCTTTTAATAGCATATAATAGTGTTAACTTAATAATTTATCACAAAGATACTATTATTCTTGCCCGAGACTTTGCATACATGTTTGCTTGACCATTGTTGTGCAGGTTGTAATTTTCCCTTATTTTGAGGATTTTGTATACACAGGAACACCGCCAATCTATGGTATATGTAGGAATAAGTATTTTTGTATATGAATTCGTAATGAATGGCGTTGGCAGGAGCGTGATGGTGTGGTGGCTCCTCCTCAAACTGCGTACGTGTGGTGATGCTGTACCTCACTCTCAGCAACACAACATTTATTTTGCCTCCTTCTCCTCTTCTCTTCCACTCTCCATCCTCCTCTCACATTGCCTACATTATCGCACGCTTCCTTCCTGAGGATGAATACATGCACTGATCTTCTGGAAGTAGGTGAAAGTAAATGTGGTGTAAATATAAAAGTATGTCAACATCCATCAATGGTGTACAATCATGTATTTGTTTGTTTATACAACTTTTCCTTCTGCGACTGTTTGATGCTTGACGCGATGCTCTACACCTCAGGATCCATCAAATGTATCTCCACCCTCCTCTAGCGGTACACATCTTCCAAGATAAAGCCACATCGTATTATTTTTGAGATTAATGTCCTAAGCCTATCCGACCTTTTTCCCAATGTTCCAATACGTTGATTCCCTCGCCAGGGGACCACCACCAAAAAACTCACGACCACTATATATTAGCTAATATAGCTACCAAAAAATTACTCTTACAAAATAAAGGCCCGAAGAATGAGTATATACTCCGCAATATCTGTGGCTCACTGAAAAAATGCATAACATCTTCCTTTAGGCGTAGGTTTTTAGATGACTTACAGGGAGTGGATTATATCTCGTAAAAACACACGCCATATTGGATTTCCCTAACAGATTGGGATATGTTAGTGAAATACTGCTTCTTATGAGAGGTATCACGTGCAGTTATGTATTACGTGTGAAAATATAGATGTGAGAAGATATTGTGATGCAGCCTGTGGTAGTAGTGTAAGTTGATAGTTTGTGAGTGACCAAGAAAACCTCGGTCACAAGTTGACCACCAATGTTTTGATACACAAACCTGGAGTTATTAACCTAAATCTCTATCTCTTAGGAACAGTGCGACTTAGTCATTCTCTCAGATTGTAAGGCAGAGCACCTCTTTGCTGAGTTCATATAATTTGTATTGATGAAGCGTAAGTAGGTTAAGGTGTTTACTAAAACTGGGTTGTGTGAGGGTGTGCAAGCATTATTTGTTGTGTGAGGGTGTGCAAGCATTATTTGTTGTGTGAGGGTGTGCAAGCATTATTTGTTGTGTGGGGGGTGTGCAAGCATTATTTGTTGTGTGAGGGTGTGCAAGCATTATTTGTTGTGTGAGGGTGTGCAAGCATTATTTGTTGTGTGAGGGTGTGCAAGCATTATTTGTTGTGTGAGGGTGTGCAAGCAATTATTTGTTGTGTGAGGGTGTGCAAGCATTATTTGTTGTGTGAGGGTGTGCAAGCATTATTTGTTGTGTGAGGGGGTGCAAGCATTATTTGTTGTGTGAGGGTGTGCAAGCATTATTTGTTGTGTGAGGGTGTGCAAGCATTATTTGTTGTGTGAGGGTGTGCAAGCATTATTTGTTGTGTGAGGGTGTGCAAGCATTATTTGTTGTGTGAGGGTGTGCAAGCATTATTTGTTGTGTGAGGGTGTGCAAGCATTATTTGTTGTGTGAGGGTGTGCAAGCATTATTTGTGTGAGGGTGTGCAAGCATTATTTGTTGTGTGAGGGTGTGCAAGCATTATTTGTTGTGTGAGGGTGTGCAAGCATTATTTGTTGTGTGAGGGTGTGCAAGCATTATTTATTGTGAGGGTGTGCAAGCATTATTTGTTGTGTGAGGGGGGTTGCAAGCATTATTTGTTGTGTGAGGGTGTGCAAGCATTATTTGTTGTGTGAGGGTGTGCAAGCATTATTTATTGTGTGAGGGTGTGCAAGCATTATTTGTTGTGTGAGGGTGTGCAAGCATTATTTGTTGTGTGAGGGGGTGCAAGCATTATTTGTGTGAGGGTGTGCAAGCATTATTTGTTGTGTGAGGGTGTGCAAGCATTATTTGTTGTGTGAGGGTGTGCAAGCATTATTTGTTGTGTGAGGGTGTGCAAGCATTATATGTTGTGTGAGGGTGTGCAAGCATTATTTGTTGTGTGAGGGTGTGCAAGCATTATTTGTTGTGTGAGGGTGTGCAAGCATTATTTGTTGTGTGAGGGTGTGCAAGCATTATTTGTTGAGGGTGTGCAAGCCTTATATGTTGTGTGAGGGTGTGCAAGCATTTGTTGTGTGAGGGTGTGCAAGCATTATTTGTTGTGTGAGGGTGTGCAAGCATTATATGTTGTGTGAGGGTGTGCAAGCATTATTTGTGTGAGGGTGTGCAAGCATTATTTGTTGTGTGAGGGTGTGCAAGCATTATTTGTGAGGGTGTGCAAGCATTATTTGTTGTGTGAGGGTGTGCAAGCATTATTTGTTGTGTGAGGGTGTGCAAGCATTATATGTTGTGTGAGGGTGTGCAAGCATTATATGTTGTGTGAGGGTGTGCAAGCATTATATATGTGAGGGTGTGCAAGCATTATATGTTGTGTGAGGGTGTGCAAGCATTATATGTTGTGTGAGGGTGTGCAAGCATTATATGTTGTGTGAGGGTGTGCAAGCATTATATGTTGTGTGAGGGTGTGTAAGCTTTATTTGTTGTGTGAGGGTGTGCAAGCATTATTTGTTGTGTGAGGGTGTGCAAGCATTATTTGTTGTGTGAGGGTGTGCAAGCATTATTTGTTGTGTGAGGGTGTGCAAGCATTATTTGTTGTGTGAGGGTGTGCAAGCATTATTTGTTGTGTGAGGGTGTGCAAGCACTATATGTTGTGTGAGGGTGTGCAAGCATTATTTGCTGTGTGAGGGTAAGCTTTATTTGTTGTGTGAGGGGGTGCAAGTATTATTTGTTGTGTGAGGGTGTGCAAGCATTATTTGTTGTGTGAGGGTGTGCAAGCATTATTTGTTGTGTGAGGGTGTGCAAGCATTATTTGTGTGAGGGTGTGCAAGCATTATATGTTGTGTGAGGGTGTGCAAGCATTATTTGTTGTGTGAGGGTGTGCAAGCATTATTTGTTGTGTGAGGGTGTGCAAGCATTATTTGTTGTGTGAGGGTGTGCAAGCATTATTTGTGTGTGAGGGTTGTGCAAGCATTATTTGTTGTGTGAGGGTGTGCAAGCATTATTTGTTGTGTGAGGGTGCGCAAGCATTATTTGTTGTGTGAGGGTGTGCAAGCATTATTTGTTGTGTGAGGGTGTGCAAGCATTATTTGTTGTGTGAGGGTGTGCAAGCATTATATGTTGTGTGAGGGTGTGCAAACATTTTGTGTGAGGGTGTGCAAGCATTATTTGTTGTGTGAGGGTGTGCAAGCATTATATTGTTGTGTGAGGGTGTGCAAGCATTATTTGCTGTGTGAGGGTGTGCAAGCATTATTTGTTGTGTGAGGGTGTGCAAGCATTATATGTTGTGTGAGGGTGTGCAAGCATTATTTGTTGTGTGAGGGTGTGCAAGCATTATTTGTTGTGTGAGGGTGTGCAAGCATTATATGTTATGTGAGGGTGTGCAAGCATTATATGTGTGAGGGTGTGCAAACATTATGTTGTGTGAGGGTGTGCAAGCATTATTTGTTGTGTGAGGGTTTGCAAGCATTATTTGTTGTGTGAGGATGTGCAAGCATTATTTGCTGTGTGAGGGTGTGCAAACATTATATGTTGTGTGAGGGTGTGCAAGCATTATATGTTGTGTGAGGGTGTGCAAGCATTATTTGTTGTGTGTGAGGGTGTGCAAGCATTATTTGTTGTGTGAGGGTGTGCAAGCATTATATGTTGTGTGAGGGTGTGCAAGCATTATTTGTTGTGTGAGGATGTGCAAGCATTATATGTTGTGTGAGGGTGTGCAAACATGTTGTGTGAGGGTGTGCAAGCATTATTTGTTGTGTGAGGGTGTGCAAGCATTATATGTTGTGTGAGGGTGTGCAAGCATTATTTGCTGTGTGAGGGTTTGTAAGCTTTATTTGTTGTGTGAGGATGTGCAAGCATTATATGTTGTGTGAGGGTGTGCAAGCTTTATTTGTTGTGTGAGGGTGTGCAAGCATTATTTGTTGTGTGAGGGTGTGCAAGCATTATATGTGTGAGGGTGTGCAAGCATTATATGTTGTGTGAGGGTGTGCAAGCATTTGTTGTGTGAGGGTGTGCCAGCATTATTTGTTGTGTGAGGGTGTGCAAGCATTATATGTTGTGTGAGGGTGTGCAAGCATTTGTTGTGTGAGGGTGTGCAAGCTTTATTTGTTGTGTGAGGGTGTGCAAGCATTATTTGTTGTGTGAGGGTGTGCAAACATTATGTTGTGTGAGGGTGTGCAAGCATTATTTGTGTGAGGGTGTGCAAGCATTATTTGTTGTGTGAGGGTGTGCAAGCATTATATGTTGTGTGAGGGTGTGCAAGCATTATGTGTGAGGGTGTGCAAGCATTATTTGTTGTGTGAGGGTGTGCAAGCATTATATGTTGCGTGAGGGTGTGCAAGCATTATATGTTGCGTGAGGGTGTGCAAGCATTATATGTGTGAGGGTGTGCAAGCATTATTTGTGTGAGGGTGTGCAAGCATTATTTGTTGTGTGAGGGTGTGCAAACATTATATGTTGTGTGAGAGTGTGCAAGCATTATATATTGTATGAGGGTGTGCAAGCATTTTTTGTTGTGTGAGGGTGTGCAAGCATTATTTGTTGTGTGAGGGTGTACAAGCATTATTTGTTGTGTGAGGGGTGTGCAAGCATTAGTTATTGTGTGAGGGTGTGCAAGCATTATTTATGTGATGCTGTGCAAGCATTGTGTGTTGTGTGAGGGTGTGCAAACATTGTATGTTGTGTGAAGGGTGTGCAAGCATTATTTGTTGTGTGAGGGTGTACAAGTATTATTTGTTGTGTGAGGGTGTGCAAGCATTGTATGTTGTGTGAGGGTGTGCAAGCATTATATGTTGTGTGAGGGTGTGCAAGCATTATTTGTTGTGTGAGGGTGTGCAAGCATTATTTGTTGTGTGAGGGTGTGCAAGCATTATTTGTTGTGTGAAGGTGTGCAAGCATTATGTATTGTGTGAGGGTGTGCAAGCATTATTTGTTGTGTGAGGGTGTGCAAGCATTATATGTTGTGTGAGGGTGTGCTAGCATTATTTGTTGTTTGAAGGTGTGCAAGCATTATTTGTTGTGTGAGGGTGTGCAAGCATTATTTGTTGTGTGAGGGTGTACAAGCATTGTATGTTGTGTGAGGGTGTGCAAGCATTATTTGTTGTGTGAGGGTGTGCAAGCATTATTTGTTGTGTGAGGGTGTGCAAGCATTATTTGTTGTTTGAGGTGTGCAAGCATTATTTGTTGTGTGAGGGTGTGCAAGCATTATTTGTTGAGGGTGTGCAAGCATCATTTGTTGTGAGGGTGTGCAAGCATCATTTGTTGTGTGAGGATGTGCAAGCATTTGTTTTGTGAGGGTGTGCAAGCATCATTTGTTGTGAGGGTGTGCAAGCATCATTTGTTGTGTGAGGGTGTGCAAGCATTATATGTTTTGTGAGGGTGTGCAAGCATCATTTGTTGTGTGAGGTTGTGCAAGCATTATTTGTTGTGTGAGGTGTGCATGCATTATTTGTTGTTTGAGGTTTGCAAGCATTATTTGTTGTGTGAGGTGTGCAAGCATTATTTGTGTGAGGGCGTGCAAGCATTATTTGTGTGGGGGTGTGCAAGCATTATTTGTGTGAGGGTGTGCAAGCATTATTTTTTGTGAGGGTGTGCAAGCGTTATTTGTGTGAGATGTGCAAGCATTATTTGTTGTGTGATGGTGTGCAAGCATTATTTGTGTGTGTGCAAGCATTATTTGTTGTGTGAAGGTGTGCAAGCATTATTTGTTGTGTGAGGGTGTGCAAGCATTATTTGTGTGAGAGGTGTGCAAGCTTTATTTGTTGTGTGAGGGTATGCAAGCATTATATGTTGTGTGAGGGTGTGCAAGCATTATTTGTTGTGTGAGGGGTGTGCAAGCATTATTTGTTGTGTGAGGGTGTGCAAGCATTGTGTGCCAGTGTGCAAACATCATTTGTTGTGTGAGGGTGTGCAAGCATCATTTGTTGTGAGGGTGTGCAAGCATCATTTGTTGTGTGAGGGGTGTGCAAGCATCTTTTGTTTTGTGAGAGTGTGCAAGCATCATTTGTTATGCTATAGTGTTGGAGTACTCAAGCATTATTGAACGTACAGAATGAGGGGTGTACCTGCATTAAAATGTATGTAAGAGTTTGCAAGCATTATTTGTTAAGGTATAGTGTGCAGCATTGCTTGTTAAGGTGTAGGTATGATGTGTCATTTGTGATCTATGGCACTATCAAACATGGTTGAAGCACCTTCTATGGTAGGGTTTAGTTGTCTGGGTTTAGACTGTGCATGTGATCCTATTGGCATAGTTCAAGCAAATCTAAAGGGAAAGTAATCTTTTGGTTTTGAGGCTGCTTCGAGGCATGTATACTGGGTTAATCGTTTATCATAGTGGTATCTCATAGCTCAGTGGTTAGCACACCTGCCTTACTACTGAGAGGATGTGGGGCCGAACCTCACACGATGTATGCACAAGTCTCTTAATACCTGCTGCCTGTTAGGATCTAAATGGGCCCAATGAAAGTAATATTTGCATTGATTTACTTTATTGGGTTATCCCAGGTTACTAACTCTTTAGGGGTTAATAATCTGAATAAGATCAGTCTTGGGGTGGAGTATCTCTTGCTATGTAATGTCATTGCAAGAAATGACAAAATGCCTCCAATGGCAGGGTGTAGGTCTTTTTACAGGATTTGTCCAACTGCCAGCTAACTATTGCAGAGAGCTGTTCTTTTTTGATTACCTCACCATTTGCATGTTTGATCATGGCTTTGGCTTCTCCAACAATCCAATAGCAGTTTACAAATCATTCAGTGAAATGCTTCTCGCACAGCTAGCTACTACAGCTGCTCCAATTACTACTTTTGGCAGTGTCCCTAACCTTTCTTGTCCTTGTTAGCTTAATCAGACATCCTGCTGTATTCTGCTTTGTTTAGATTGTGTTTAGAATAAAAGCCTAGATAAAGTTCTTTTACATTCCAGCCCAGTGAGACTGAGACAGTGATGGATGATTATAAAATTTGTCATGTGATTAAGTTATGATAATAAGATTTGTTTGAATTTTTAACCGGGTTTAGCCACCCAGGATAACTCAAGAGACTTAGTGTGTCATCGAGGACTGCCTGTCTTGTTTCTATTGGGGTCCTTCAATCTTGTCTCCCAACACAGTCAACTAGCACCCAGGTACCTACTTATTGCTAGGTGAATGGGTGTAAGGAAACATGCCCAATGTTTCGACCCATGCCCGGGGATTGAACCATGGATACTTTGTGTGTGAAGCAAGAACGTTGCCTACGGAGCCATACGACATCACCTCAGTTAGCCCCAAAATGTTTTTCTGTGCCCTGCACAATCTCTCTTTTCTATGTGCTGCACAATTTCTTTAGACAAAGAACAGAAATGTTTTAATTCTGTAGAGGAGATAGCTTGTAGTACTAATAAAAGTAGTTTAAATAGTAGTAATAATTGGACTAGATTGCTTAAGTCGTAAAGAGGCTTAGCAAAGGAACAAAGAAAAGAGGAGCACTGCAGTAGGCCTAATAGCCCATGCTAAGAAAAAAAAAGCAAGTAAGGAGAGAGTTGGAAAACAGGAAAGGTGAAGGAAATATAGTAGATAGCTCAAGAGAAAACATGAGGATACAAAGGTCAGGTTAAGTCATGAGGGTACTGAAGATGAGCAGTTTACAATGTATTGAGAAAGGCAGACATCTACAGAAACAAAATTGGGGCTAAGATTTATGTTAGCAGTGTGATGTATAAGGGTCAGCTCAATGATATGGAGTCTGTGAATGCTTAGAAGAAGGGTAAACAGTTTTGGCAGAGGATCAATGTATAGGAAGTTTATAATCTGAACATGTTAGAAATGGGCATTGTTAATGTCAGCAAGGTGAATAATACTTTTGTGGTCTTTTAAGTATCAGAAAGAGTGGCTAATCCAAACTTTCATCTTGAAGTGCACATTATTTGTAAATATGAAAAGAATGTTTAGTCATTGTTTTAATTTCATACATTACTCTTGTTTCTGTTGAGAATGGATCTTTTTTTTTTCAAAGTTATTTATGTATTTCTGTATTTCAGATATGCTGTTATACTGAAACCTCTTCAGGTGTGGTAGTGCACAATAAGTCTCTCCTACATGAATGCCAGTTTGAGTAGGATATTTGGAACTGTGTGTGCATACTTTGTGGCAGTAAACTCAAATAGAAAAAGTCCTTGGTGAGAGTCAAGGTGATAAAGGCCTTGATGAGATGCTTAAAAAATTATATTGTATATAGAACATGGACATGACAGGGGCTCAGTTAATTGGACAGATGTAATTAGTTTTATGAAATTTACCCTGTCACATATGCCAGGCCTGACAGGATACCGATTAGAAGGGCCATAAAAGAGCAAGTGTTTAGGCCTGGTAAAGTGGAGGTGTAGCGTGGTGGGCCAGCTGTGCAATGGCTGGTAGCACAGCTGTAACTCGGCTGTCATGCATTATGATGTGCCTGCTTACTCTAGCCGGACTTCCCATCATCTCTGCTTTGGTAGCAGGTAAGATATCTTGCTGTAACTCGGCTGTCACGCATTATGATGTGCCTGCTTACTCTAGCTGGACTTCCCATCGTCTCTGCTCTGGTACAGTAGCAGGTAAGATCTCTATTTACATTATGGTCTTGTGGCTCACAATAGCCATTTTCATTTTGCAGTTACTGTATGTTTAGTAATTGAAGCCTTCCTAAATTTTCAGCTAAAATCAGAATTAAATGTGAAGTAGTAGTTTTCTCACTAAATTGATTTACAATCACCACAAAGTCTTTGATAATCTTCAAGCATTTTTTAAACTAGTTTTTTTTTATTTATTTTCAAGCCTTGAAACCATCGAAAATAGGTAGTTTGCAAACAACATTGAAATTAGCATTTTGAGTTTTAATATTTTTAGCAGCCTTAGTAGTTAAAAAGTTTCTTTAAATAGAACCTCTTTATTCAAGCAAGAAGAGATAAGTAGCATTATTTGAAGCCAATAGGTAACTGTTTAAATGTCCATATGGGTCAAGACTTTTTTACACTAACTCCTCTTGGAATTCCTTTTCTTTAAGGGAAAAGGGATGGGTGTCTTACCTTGTAATAACTTGTGGAACTATTTCTCATGCCTTCAGATATTAAGGATTTCAAGGAGCATTTGAAATTTTAGGAAAAATCCATATGCTGATTTGGCTATAGGATTAAAGCAATCGTCATTTTCTTGTACTGTACTGTAATGAAGGAAAAAAGTGACATGCATTTGAATAAGCTCAGCAAGAATATGCAGTACATGCAGCAGAAGAAACAGTATATGGTTAAGGAAAATAAAGATTTTGAAAGATTATGTTCCCTCCCTATCATGTTTCCTTCTTCCTGTTGTCTTAATATATGGGGTTGAGAAAGACACTTATGTTTACAGGGAAAATTTTTGTTATGATGTTTCATCCAAGACTGAGCTGTTTACTTAATAAAGTTCAGTCCTGGACAAAACATCATAATAAAATTTCCCTGCAAACAAGTCTTCTCACTGTCTATCGGCTTATGCCTTCGTTTATCCACTAATTTGTGGCATCCTGTCTTTCTCTTACATCCATTTCTTATTCTGTAATCATTCATCCTTTATGTCAGTCTTGTCTTAGGTAGTCTGTAATCCCAGTCATTGTGATGCAGACTGTCTTTGGGCAGAATCTGGTAACTTTAATTAAACTTCCCTGTGATAGATTGGAGATTTTCTGTTTTTTTAATTTCATGTACAGTTTACTGGTTCACTCACACTCACTCACTTCTCTCTTTAGAGAGTACATTCTGTATTAATTTTCATAAAGCATCTGTATTGACTTGTTTTACAACAAAACAATGATTTTAACTAATTATATTAGCAAATTGAATTTAGGATGATTAGCACTATTGTATGAATAATTGGTTTTGTATTTTACAGAGGGAGCTGCACAGTCTGCAGAAAATCTTCCACCTAAAGTAACCGAATGTGAAAAATATAACAGTACACAGTGTTCAAATGAAGGTCCCCAGCCACCTCATTGCTCAGGGAAGACAACAGAGACATGTGAAGTATGGGAGAACCCAGACAAACCAAACCATTGCTTTGTTTTGTGGACTAATAACTCAGGCAAGGTTAGTAATTTTGTGTAAATTTGGCAACTAGAGTAATGTCATGGATTCTAATGCATCAGTGATTAAGTTGGTTATAGTTTTAGTCATAATGCTGTAATTATTAAGAATGGGAGATTATGGTTGTAGTGATAAGGATCTTATAAGATTTATCAGTAGTGGTGGCTGAATGGTTCCCTTGGAATACAGTCTATGAATACCTATGTCCAATAATAAACTCTTCAGGCCCAGTGGGGGGTGTCTCACTCTTTTTCACTTAGTAATAGATTTCTGTGCCTCCAATACACAAGCCAGCCTGTGTGTATTGTTCCTGTAAACCTGTGACAGCTGGTTTTGGCAGAAATAACTTAAGATGTTGTCACATCAATACCTATGTATCTGTTTTCTCTAAGTAGGTTAATACTCTACGAATACAACAGTAGCTGAAACAGTGCCCTTAAATCTTCATTCTCCAAAACTTATTCCTTAAACAAATGCCTTAAACTATGGCTGTGGCACATTATGTGTGTTCTGGTTGCATAGTCCTTTAGGAATTCTTCATGATAGTCAGAGTCCCTGCTTTGAAAATAACCTATAAGGCTCCCTCTATTGTTTTTCAATGTGATCCATGACAACACCAATCTCTGGACCAATTGTTCATCTCCCTCATTTTGGTTATAGGACGATTACACCTAAATCACCTGGTTTGTCACCTCACCTTGCACAAGTGGTGTCTTCATCCTGCAGTCTTTGAATCTTCAAGATTTTGGAGTACCCAGAGATGCATTTGTTATCCATCTGACAAATTTCTACAATTTCATACTCGTCTATCACTGACAGACTGTCAAACAGTTACCCCTCTCCAGGAGACAGATGGTCCATGGTTCCATACCTCTCAGCCTCTTCCCATTTCTCTGTCACTATCTTTTAGTCTTCCATAGATCATTTTCTTCTGCACGGTACTTCCCATTTCCATGACTCAGGTTTGGCTAACCAGTTTCCTGGAATCCCTTCACAAAATATTACCCTGCTTGCACTCCAACAGCTCGTAAAGTCCCAAAAACCATTTGTCTACATTCACTCCTATGTAACTTGCTCACATATGCTTACTGGAAGTCCAAGCCCCTCACCTACAAAACCTTTACCAACTCCCTCCAACCTTTTCGAGGACGGCCCCTATCCCACCTTCCTTTCCCTACAGATTTATATGCTCTCCAAGTGGTGGTATCATACTTTAAATCCATAATACATTTTTCAAGTGCATAAGGAACCCCTTTTCTGTGATTTTTGGAATCTGGTGGGCCTATTACCCTTCAAGCATGTTTGATCTTGGATCAGTCTTGCCAACACTAGATATACCCTTCCATTTTCTTGGTAATTTTTGTTGTGCCTGCTCTTCACTTCTAGATAGGGTTCCTTCTATTGGCCTTATCTGGCTTATACAGATGAATTTCCATCTGAATTTCTCTATGAATTTGACTGACCAATACATCACCACCTTTGCTGAACTCAGCACACTAGTCTGCTTTCAAGATTTGTCGTGCATTCTCTCCTTCAGCTGCGGGTTGGTGCCACTTTTTTTTTTTAGTCTTGAGTTATTCTGAGCTTTCGGAGTGTCTTCCCAGGTATTGACTTGTTAGGTGACACAACTGGCTGTTCCAAAGGGGTGGGATGGGGCTTCAACCATCCCACAATTCCCATGGCCTTGTCCCTAAATATAAATATTAGTAATAATAACATTACTTCAAAACAAAATCTCATAACCCTCCTTCCAACCAGATAGCCACCCCCCAAAACCCCCAAGTATGGAAATTTTGGCACTGCGTCTGGGTGATGCATGCACCCAATTTTCTGTTTGTTTTTGTTTTAAGTTTCTAGTCTCTTCTGATTTCATGGTAGTAGCCAGTAATGAGCATTTCTCTAGTTTGATGCATCCTGGAGATTATGCCTCGGTGGGAGACGGCTGACTCGTTAAAAAAAAAAAAAAAAATTCTGTAATGAATCATTATGCATTTCTGCTCTGGTATTGGGATGCAACTTTCTCAAGGCCATCTTTTACTCCCCTGAACTATAGCTCTTCCAAGGACATGTTTCCACACCTATCACTGAACAGTTCTTAAAATTTCAATCGGTATACCTTGTGTTCATGCCCTTAAGGGGACTAGCATACACACCTGGAGTTGCATGTCTTCCCCTGTGGTAGATCCTTCATGCCTGCCCTTATCTGCTTAAGTTTCTGGCCAGGGGCTTATCAGGCTGCTTAAGTGACTTGAGCATCCCTCAGAACTATCTGTTATCCGGAAAAACATCATCACCCCAAACTGAGCTATATTACAATACTTTGTACTTACCTCTCAGGTTGAATGTCAAGACATTCATGTCCTTGGGTTATCTTACTTAGCCCATGGATACGTAAGCTAGCCTAGCCTTGTTTGCACCTACTAACTTGTTAAAGGTACACAGACCAGAGCAATGACCCAAAACATCCAGGCAGTGACGGGTTCTGCACCAGCCACATGCTTGTATGCCACATTCTGGGATCCTGGCATTTACCTTTCAAGGCTGGTTCTCGTCTGGGATTGTTCCTATACCTGACATTGCCAAAGATCTCTAGCCATTCCTTTCCACTTGCTGAGGCCTAGTTTAAGTTCAGAGTTGACCCATTCAGGGATACTCTGGTGGACTCTAGAGAGGTTCCTTATGTTTCCTGGGCATGGAACTAAAATACAGTAGTCAGAACATCACTTTGCCTAGGTCTTGAGTCTACAATCACTGAAAGTACTGTACTCCACCTAGGATAAAGAATGAGGAGTATTTGAATGGAGTGACCCTGCAGAGGGTATACCCAGTCATTTGTTTTCTAAGCTCTGTCATTGGTTGCTTCCATGCTCGTTTGTGTGATGGTGATTGGGATTAGGCTAGGTATCTTGCCTGCTGTTGTGTTAATGTTGCATGGTATGATTACAGTGTTCAAGTTGTACTGACATCAAGAAGTTGGCTTCATCTTTGTCCTCTGTGACTAGATGCAGGGCTTTGGTCAGGACCCAGTCAAGAGATTCTCTAAGTACCTGGGCTTCACAAGTTGTCTAGCAGTTTGATGGACACTTCCCTTTATCTTCCCCCTTCCCTGAAAATGTCTGAATTCTGGTTTAAATAATCAGGATTCTGTGCTCCTGCCTCTGTTCTACAGCTGCCTCCATTGTGTTGTAGGCTGTTGGTACAATCCCAAGGTGCCTTAAGGCCTTCACATAGAAAACAGGTCTTGAAGACCTGACAGATGCCTTATTAGTTATTTGAATTTGTAGAGGTAGTCATAGATTATATTTTGTTTTTATTTTTCTTGTTAACCCTCTTTCACTGTCCTTCCCTTGTTTATTTTTCTTGTTAATCCTTTCACTGGTGTCCCCACACACCAGAGGGGGATGCCAGGGTTCCTCACATGGATGTACATCTTGAGCTGAGCTCACTCAGACAAGCTGAGAGAGGTAAATTTTGGCCTAGATGTAAGAGAATGGGTCTGTGCAGTGAGTGTGCACAGTATAAAAAAAAAAATTCTTCCCCACATGGTGCATAATAGAAAAGGCAAAACTGACCTTTTGTTTGGTTTTAAAATATTGACTTTGAGGTGTTTTCTAAGATGGTTTTATGGTGACAGCCAATAAAACCATAAAACCATTCAATAGGATGGAACACACATTACTAAAATAGAGATGATTTTGGTTGATTCTTGGACTGGAAGTAGCTTGAAATTGGCCTTACAGTAGCAGAAATATTTGATTTTTCTTGATTTTCCAAAGGATAGGTAAGGCTCTCCTACACTCTTCGATCTGTTTTATGGGTTTTTACTAAGTCTGATTCAATTATTGGGATGCTGTAAACCATGACTAATCATTCCTGGTTATATTGTATTATCTGATAAATAGGGTAAATCTTCAGTTGTTTTGTGAAATGAGGAATTCATAATGGAAGGCAAGTGTAATATAGGAGAGACCTGAGGATGTAATTAATGAACGGAGGAAATGTAGTTTTAGTGCGTGGAATATCTAGTGATTGTTTTTTATTTGTTTTTAAATTACTGACTTCTGTGCACTTCATAAGATAGTTTTCATACTTGAATGGGCAGGTTCTTGTGCTCAGTCTATAGAACAGAAGGCATGCTAGTGAAATTGCTAAGAATTTAGTTGAATTGAGCAATAGAATTGGCTTAAAATAAAAGCAAGTTGGTGAAATCACCAATGTATAAATTGCTTTCAGACTGTTAGTTTTGTACCTGTGTAATTGTGTAAATTTTCCACTAAATTTCATACTTTTGGTGTCATTGCCCTTAAAAGGATTCTTGACCATTGCAGAAGAATTTTTTTTTTTAACCCTTTGAGGGTCGACAGGCCCTCTCCGAGACTCATTCTCAGGGTCGGCCAAATTTAAAAAAAAAAAAAAAAAATTCTTATGAAAAGATAGAGAATCTTTTCCCGGTCTTGGCGATGTTTACGCATCGGCGATTTTGCCTACTTTGAGCCCCATTTTCGGCCAATTCCACTGCACTAGTCGACAAAAAACATGAATATTTTGCTAGAACTCTATTTTTTCTATCGAATGAGTGCAAGAAACCACCCATTTACCAATTTCAACTATCCAGTACAGTGGTCAGAATTTAGCAATTTTGCCAATTTCACACCAATTTCAAAAGATGCCAATTTCCGAATAGGGTCCAGAATAAACAAAAAAGACATTCCTGGCACTAAAATGACATTTCCTTTGTTGATTAGTCACGTCTCAAGGCCCCTCTTACATTCTTTTGCTTTCCACTTTGAATTTTTATTCTCACAAAAAATAGGAGATTTACTGTTATGCAGACTACTGCATTAGTGTAAAAAATGGTATAAATAATATTGGCGCACTTGCAAAAGAATATTAGACTCACCAGTTGACGTGTATTGGACGCTTGGCATGATTTGTTTACTTTTGAACTTTGGTAAAAATCGAACATTTCTGCTACTTTGAGCTCAATTTCAAGGTACTTTTCATTGTAAAACCAGTCAAAATCATCCCAATTTCTGTAATATGTCTTCCATTCTATAAAATGAGACCAAGAAAACTAGAATACAACAATAAATACCATACGAAAATACAGTGCAAAGTCGCTGTTTTATTCCAAAAAAACAGTCAAAGTTTTTTTTTTTCTCATTACGCACTGTGTACTGCAGGATTTTTTTATACTGTGCACACTGACCACATAGACCCATTCTTTCATATGTAGGCCTACCAGCTTTCTCCCACTAGATTTGAGGGCGCTAGAATTTAGGTGTACTAGTACGTCAAAAACCCTGGGTCGTAAGCCGTACTAGTACGGCCGAAACCCTCAAAGGGTTAAATATAGACAGTAAATACTTACAATTTCAAGGCTTTGGACAGTGATGGAGTTAAAATTTGTGAAATAAGTAATGATGTAGAGTAAAAAAAGGCTAAATTTTTTTTAAGTTAGTAGAGAAGAAAATTATCATAGTTGTAACCCTGAGAAAATGATATTCATTGTGGCTGATTGTTGAAATACTTATTAATTTACATCATGTTTTAGCATTGCAAAATATGTTATTTTTCAGTATTTAAAATTAGTAAGTAAATTGTTCTTTATTTTTACAGTTGGAGATTACTTACAAGGGTTGCTGGCTGGATGACATTTCTTGTTCTTCTGAATGCATCAGTTTTGAACCAGAAAGTAGCTTAACAGAAAAGAAAAAACATTTATTTTGTTGCTGTAATCACAACAACTGTAACCATAACTTCTCTTGGCACCCAATGGAAGAGACGCCCAGTACCCCACGTGAGTATTATGGTCACTTCAATTAATATGTGCAGTAGGCACACAGTAATTATGTACTCTATGATTACGGTGGACCCTCGGTTAGCGGCCAAAATCCGTTCCAGAAGGTTGGCCTAAAACCGAAAAGGCCGAAAACTGAAATAATATTTCCCATAAGAATTAATGTATATCCATTTAATCCGTTTCAGATATAAAAAAATATTAGCAAAAAATATATTTTTTAAAGATTAACTATAGTTTTACATACAGACAATAATGAGTATATTGATTACTTACCTTAAAATATTTGTAGTCTTAATGTAGGGCGAGAGGTGAGTAGTATTTATTTGTAGGAAGTCAGTGTAGTCAGCGGTAGATGTAGGTACAGTACATGTTTGTAGCCCTCCTTGGGCTACACTACACAGCCATATTATTACCATGTTCACTGAGTTTAATCATTTCTAACAACTACCTTTAGATGCCATCATAAACAGAGGAAGAAGTAATGAATAATTCATGCCGAGACTTGTAAACAAATGCATATGAAGGGTGGTTACTGGGCAAGATGCCAGATTTACAGTTTTCTCTAACTCTGAAGCAGAGAAAACATAATGTTTACTCTCCACCCGATTCTCCACTCAATAGCATATAAACATTGCATGTTTATATGCTGCATAATATGTAACGTGCTTTTTATATAATTTTGAAGAAAATATCATATATGAATTAATGAAAATGTCTAATAAGACATTTAATGTGCCCAAGAGTGATTATTATTAAACATATATTGCAAATAAACATTGCTACACTCCCTGTCTTCCTGCTACACTCCATGCATGCCTGCCACACTCCCTGCCTTCCTGCTACACTCCCTGCATGCTTGCTACACTCCTTGCCTCTGTGCCTGCTTGCTATACTCACTGCCTGCTTGCTACACTCCCTGCCTTCCTGCTACACTTCCTGCATGCCTGCTACACTCCTTGCCTCTATGCCTGCCTGCCTTGAATTCTATCGTGTTTCTCACTTTCTTGACCAAAGGAACTTTACTAGGAACTGTCTTTGGGGCCATGGTTACTTATTTCACAGTTGCATATAATCAATAACAACCAAAAACAATGGATTATAGCAAAATGTTTGGATGAATGAGCAGAAGCTTCCTCACTCGCCCAGAGATACAGCCACACTGACTCAGGAACACGTGAGCGGTTGGCGGTGGACACGTCCAGCATGGCCGATGAGTGAAATATCGGCTGAACCGGAAGCCGAAAAAACAGCTGATAATGGAGTTGGCCGATAAGCAGAATGGCCGATAACTGAGGGTTCACTGTATTTCAAGGACCATTTCACTAATTAAATACAGTAGACTCATACAAGAAATGCACTGTGTATTTTCTTCATAAATGTAAAGTGTAACCTAATAATTAAATGGGTAAAAACTCATTTTATGCAAGCAGAGAACACCCAGGAATACAGAGTTTCAACTTGTCTCACACATGGTCATTTTCAGTGTCATGTCCCCATGACACCATAAACCTATTCCTTTCTTAACCAGCTTTCCTCTCCCCACAAGACTAAGGGATGCTCTGGTCAGCTGACTGGCCAGGTTGAGCATTTGTTCTACCACAAAGGCATTCCACAGAAAAACTGTGTTGCATATAATGTTCAGTTTATGTACAGTAGTAAGTTTTCAGAATACAGTATGTACTCATATTTTCAGGAATGTAACTTATGCTTCTTGAGAATTTACTGTTAAATACTTTTGGTACATCTTGTCTCCAAATGTTCATTGATTTATAAAGGTGTGGGGCCATGCATGATTGATTTGCTGTAGCATCCAATTAGCTCCCAGTTTTCAGTGTATTTAGGTATCTTACATATGGCTGGCTTTTTTATTTTTTTTTATTTTGCTAGGGGGGAAAAAAAAGTGTAAATTTATGCTTGCATAACTCTCCATATTAAAATAATCTGATGTTACACTAAACGAAAAATTCCAGAAAGTTTACAAAAGACTGGCACCTGTTGACTGTACCCATGGTCTTCTTAGATTGGTATATCTACGAGTATCCTTTTAGGAGCTTTGCCTGTGTTGCAAAGAACTGCAGCTTAACAATAAGCAGAGGACATTTTGCACTATTTTTAACTACAGCAACAGAGACTTATATTCATTGTGTAGTAAGGGATTGAGGGGTATTTTGTAACTCAGCTTTGTTTTTGTTTTGTTTTATATTGTCTACATGTATTTTTAGGTAAGGTCACTACACTACTACTGCATATTCCTATTTTGGATTAAGACATATAAGTTTTTTTTTTGTTTCAAATTCCCTTATTTATTGAAAGACTTTTATAGTGTTATTGTATTGGAGCGACTTTGCATCAGGTGTTGAATGTCTAACATATTGACAGTCAAGGGGTATTGTGTTTACCTTTGTGAGTTGCAACAAAACTATTTATCTGAAGCAAAGTACTGTTCATGACTACTACCATAAATAATATGTACACATTTAATTTTTATATAAAAATTCTGAAGCATTGATATGTTAAATTTTATTTGTAATATGTGTTCACATTGTGTAAGGTGTAGAAAACACTTTAATAGTATTCCCCCAACTTATGATGTCCTGACCTACAATGTTCCACTCATATGACATTATCACTTTGGAACCAGTTAATGACTTTAGAATGCTGATTCAGAGTTACAGTAATTGCAAATATTTTTTTTTTGTTTTAATCCTTTCACTGTCTGGACCTATGATCTGAACTTGTCCACAGTGTCCAAGAATTAAAAAAAAAAAAACTTGTTATTTTATCTTATAAAATGGTAGGGAATCTTTTTCTGAGGTAATAAAACAAAAAGTACAAAAATTGATCGAAAATTGACGAAATTATGATTTTGTGAATTTTGTTGTGTCAGCAATATATACGTGCCGGCAATTTTGCCCACTTTGAGTCCTATTTTGGGCCAATTACATTGAACACAAGAAATCACCCAATCAACTATTTCAACTACCCAATAAAGTGATCAGAAATTGGTAATTTTGCCAATTTCACACAAATTTGAAAATATTCCTGTTTCAAAATAGGGTCCATAATAAACATTGCAGGCATTCCTGGCATTAAAATAACATTTCCTCTCTTCATTAGCTATGTTTCCAGGCTTTACGCATGAATTTCATTTTGATTTTTATCCATAAAAAAAAGTACATAATTTACTGTTATGCAATATTGTAGTAATTGTATAAATAATATCAGCGCAATCGTGAGCGCACATTAGACCCACCATTTGACATGTATTGGATGCGTGATGTGATCTGTTTGCTCCTGAACATTGGCAAAAAATCTATTATTTCCTCTACTTTGATCAGGCTCTGATCCACCAGGAGGCCTGGTCAGAGAGCGGGACGCGGGGGCGTTGACCCCCGGAACTCTCTCCAGGTAAACTCCAGGTCAATTTCAGGCTACATTTAGTCCTAAAACCAATCAAAATCATCTCTATTTCTGTAATATACCTTCCATTCTATCAAATGAGACCAAGAAACCGAGAATACAACTATAAAAGCCATATGAGAATACACTTCAAAGTTGATACTTTAAACCAAAAACACAGTTGCGTTTTTTTTTTTTGTCATGCACTGCATGCTGCGCATTTTTTTTATATGGTACACACTGCATTGACTGATTCTGTCATATCTAGGCCCAAATTTACCACTCACTGCTTATTTGGCTGTGCTGTAGTACTACAGCATGGCCAGTGAACGCAAAGGCTTAGTACTGCGGTACAGTCAGCGAAAGGGTTAAATACTGGCTGTCTCAAACAGAGATAGGGTAACAAGTTATTTCCACACATTTTTTCTTGCAGTTTTTTTTATGAAATGCATTTATATTATGAGTACAGTGGACACCCACTTTACGATCACCTCCCAATGCGACCAATTATGTAAGTGTATTTATGTAAGTGCGTTTGTACGTGTATGTTTGGGGGTCTGAAATGGACTAATCTAATTCACAATATTCCTTATGGGAACAAATTCGTTCAGTAATGGCACCTGAACGTACTTCTGGAATGAAATAATATTGTAAGCCGGGGGTCCACTGTATGCCATTTTTTATGCACATGTGGATCATTCGTGTTTGTTTGGTAAATATTGGTTAACAGTCGTAGAATTGATAATTACAAGCTTTTTAGCTTCAATCATTGATCAAGGTTGAAGGATTGGATACCTTAGGCTTCCTTCTCCAAGGCAAAGGGACTAATCACCTCTTATCTACCTCTCCGCTACTTCTGTTGCCTCCAACATTAAGGTTACCACTGTATTTTGACTAAAGAAGCCTTCTGTGCAGCCATAGTATCTCGGCAATAAAAATAGCCAACTGTTGCACATGTGTCTTACTCATCTTCTTATCAGTATTGTATACCATTAATATGATGAAAACAGTGTTTGATTGCCAAAATGTCAAGCAAAGTTGCTTAAGTCACGTGACTGCAAACTCTGTATAGGAGTGTCTCACAACTTAATTTATATTATTTGATGAAAAATCTGTGGTGCTCAAGGCTTAAAATATTACATTACTTGTAAATAAATCAGAATAATTATTAAGATATAAACAAAAAAATTAACTAATAACATTGATATTCTAATCTACAAACAACTTGTATTTTGCTTTACTGTATATAAATGATATTCAGTATCAAAACTAGTGTGGGAACTTAACTAGAGGTATTGTTTAACAGTTCAGAAGGCGGCACGGGAGTCTGGTATAGCAGCTGAGATACGACTGGCTAGCCCGGTTGGCGAGGACGCTCACAAACACTCAGGCTGCACAGTAGTGCCACGTGCATACAGTAGGTTCCCCACTTACGGCAATAATGCGTTCCTGAAAATTTTTCACAAATCCTTTATCGGAACTCGAAGCGTCTTTTTCCATAGACATCCAAATATTATAATGGAGATGCATTCCAGAGCCATAACATTCCGCATCTAATGTTATTTATTTAAGAATATTAATTAATATTAAAATTAATATTAGTAATGGTGGTTGGGGATTTCAATGCTAAAGTGGGTAAAAATGTTATGGAGGGAGTAGTAGGTAAATTTGGGGTGCCAGGGGTAAATGTAAATGGGGAGCCTTTAATTGAGCTATGTGTAGAAAGAAATTTGGTAATAAGTAATACATATTTTATGAAAAAGAGGATAAATAAATATACAAGGTATGATGTAGCACATAATGAAAGTAGGTTGTTAGATTATGTATTGGTGGATAAAAGGTTGATGGGAAGGCTCCAGGATGTACATGTTTATAGAGGGGCAACTGATATATCGCATCATTATTTATTTGTAGCTACAGTTAGAGTAAGAGGTAGATGGGAAAAGAGGAAGGTGGCAACAACAAGTAAGAGGGAGGTGAAAGTTCATAAACTAAGGGAGGAGGAAGTTCAGATGAGATATAAGCGACTATTGGCAGAAAGGTGGGCTAGTGCAAAGATGAGTAGGGGGGGGGGGGGGTTAAGAGGGTTGGAATAGTTTTAAAAATGCAGTATTAGAATGTGGGGCAGAAGTTTGTGGTTATAGGAGGTGGGGGCAGGAGGAAAGAGGAGTGATTGGTGGAATGATGAAGTAAAGGTGTGATAAAGAGAAAAGGGTAGCTTATGAGAGGTTTTTACAGAGCAGAAGTGTTATAAGAAGAGCAGAGTATATGGAGAGTAAAAGAAAGGTGAAGAGAGTGGTGAGAGAGTGCAAAAGGAGAGCAGATGATAGAGTGAGAGAGGCAATGTCAAGAAATTTTAATGAAAATAAGAAAAAATTTTGGAGTGAGTTAAACAAGTTAAGAAAGCCTAGGGAAAGTATGGATTTGTCAGTTAAAAACAGAGTAGAGGAGTTAGTAGATGGGGAGAGGGAGGTATTAGGTAGATGGCAAGAACATTTTGAGGAACTTGTAAATGTTGAGGAAGAAAGGGAGGCGGTAGTTTCATGCACTGGCCAGGGAGGTATACCATCTTTTAGGAGTGAAGAAGAGCAGAATGTAAGTGTGGGGGAGGTATGTGAGGCATTACTTAGAATGAAAGGGGGTAAAGCAGCTGGAACTAATGGGATCATGACAGAAATGTTAAAAGCAGGGGGGGATATAGTGTTGGAGTGGTTGGTACTTTTGTTTAATAAATGTATGAAAGAGGGGAAGGTACCTAGGGATTGGCAGAGAGCATGTATAGTCCCTTTATATAAAGGGAAAGGGGACAAAAGAGATTGTAAAAATTATAGAGGAATAAGTTTATTGAGTATACCAGGAAAAGTGTACGGTAGGGTTATAATTGAAAGAATTAGAGGTAAGACAGAATGTAGGATTGTGGATGAGCAAGGAGGTTTCAGAGTGGGTAGGGGATGTGCAGATTAAGTGTTTACATTGAAGCATATATGTGAACAGTACTTAGATAAAGGTAGGGAAGTTTTTATTGCATTTATGGATTTAGAAAAGGCATATGATAGAGTGGATAGAGGAGCAATGTGGCAGATGTTGCAAGTATATGGAATAGGTGGTAAGTTACTAAATGCTGTAAAGAGTTTTTATGAGGATAGTGAGGCTCAGGTTAGGGTGTGTAGAAGAGAGGGAGACTACTTCCTGGTAAAAGGTCTTAGACAGGGATGTGTAATGTCACCATGGTTGTTTAATATATTTATAGGTGGGGTTGTAAAAGAAGTAAATGCTAGGGTGTTCGGGAGAGGGGTGGGATTAAATTATGGGGAATCAAATTCAAAATGGGAATTGACTCAGTTACTTTTTGCTGATGATACTGTGCTTCTGGGAGATTCTAAAGAAAAATTGCAAAGGTTAGTGGATGAGTATGGGAATGTGTGTAAAGGTAGAAAGTTGAAAGTGAACATAGAAAAGAGTAAGGTGATGAGGGTATCAAATGATTTAGATAAAGAAAAATTGGATATCAAATTGGGGAGGAGGAGTATGGAAGAAGTGAATATTTTCAGATACTTGGGGGTTGACGTGTCGCGGATGGATTTATGAAGGATGAGTTAATCATAGAATTGATGAGGGAAAAAAGGTGAGTGGTGCGTTGAGGTATATGTGGAGTCAAAAAACGTTATCTATGGAGGCAAAGAAGGGAATGTATGAAAGTATAGTAGTACCAACACTCTTATATGGATGTGAAGCTTGGGTGGTAAATGCAGCAGCGAGGAGATGTTTGGAGGCAGTGGAGATGTCCTGTGTAAGGGCAATGTGTGGTGTAAATATTATGCAGAAAATTCGGAGTGTGGAAATTAGGAAAAGGTGTGGAGTTAATAAAAGTATTAGTCAGAGGGCAGAAGAGGGGTTGTTGAGGTGGTTTGGTCATTTAGAGAGAAAAGATCAAAGTAGAATGACATGAAAAGCATATAAATCTATAGGGGAAGGAAGACGGGGTAGGGGTCGTCCTCGAAAGGGTTGGAGAGAGGGGGTAAAGGAGGTTTTGTGGGCGAGGGGCTTGGACTTCCAGCAAGCGTGCGTGAACGTGTTAGATAGGAGTGACTGGAGACGAATGGTACTTGGGACCTGACAATCTGCTGGAGTGTGAGCAAGGTAATATTCAGTGAAGGGATTCAGGGAAACCGGTTATTTTCATATAGTCGGACTTGAGTCCTGGAAATGGGAAGTACAATGCCTGCACTTTAAAGGAGGGGTTTGGGATATTGGCAGTTTGGAGGGATATGTTGTGTATCTTTATACGTATATGCTTCTAAGCTGTTGTATTCTGAGCACCTCTGCAAAAACTGATAATATGTGGGTGTGGTGAAAGTGTTGAATGATGATGAAAGTATTTTCTTTTTCTGGATTTTCTTCCTTTTTTTGGGTCACCCTGCCTTGGTGGGAGACGGCCGACTTGTTGAAAAAAAAAAAAAATTAAATCAATATTCTACATTCAGTACTGTTTCTTTTTACTTACAAATAGTATTAAGCAATTTTTAATAAATAGAACAGAGCTACAATAAAGTCTTCAGTATGGTACAAATGTATTGGGCCAGAGAGAGAGTGGGAGCAGGAGAGGGAGAGAGGGAAGGGGTGGTTAAGTAGTGTGGAAAGGTAGTTGTGAGTCCTAGTAGGGAGGGTGGGTCACTATGCTTTTCATTTAGTCATCTCTAAGTAATCTTTCAGCTAATTGAAAATTGGTCATAATAACGTCTTCACTTCTGTGAGACTGGCAAAATAATGTAATTAATGATTTGTGTACTTATTTATTTTATTTAGTTATTTTACTTTTATATACTTTTTAACACTCCAGCCATCTCCCGCTGAGGTAGTGACCTAACAAAGAAGAAAATACTTTCGCTCATTCAATTACTGTTGTTCCAGAAAGGCACTGACAGTACAGTTCAGATGAACCTCCAAACTGCAACATCCTCACCCTGCCTTCAGAGTGCAGGCACTCTACTGCCCACCTCCAGGACTCATGTCCGGTCAACTGGTTTCCCCGAATCCCACTATAAATGTTACCTTGCTTACACTAACAGCATCTGAATGTCCAAACCACAACTCTTCAACCCTCTGAATAATACTTTTCATAACTTGACACCTCTTCATCTAACAACTCTGAATTCTCTGCATTATATTCACCCTATACATTGCCCTCAAACATGATTTACCGGAACATTCAAAATCTGTGCTTCATGCCTGTACAGCAGTGTTGGTTCCATTATACTTGGGTACATTCTCTTTTTCTCTTCATGGATAACCTTCCTCACCACAGATGCCTCAATACACATTATTTATGAGTTTAAGACTTGAGTCCCGGAGGTGGGAAGTACAGTACCTGTACTCTGAAGAGGGGCGGACATATATCTTATATTTGCGGTTTAGAGGAGCATCTGAAGAATAGTATCAGCATGCCTCTGGCAAGGCAGTGATGGAGTGAATGAAGGTGAAAGTGTTTCCTTTTCAGGTCACCCTACCTTGGTGGGAAACAGTCAGTGTGCTAAAAAAAATTACATTTTTCGATGTTGATGGGGTGGCGGCTTATCAGAACACAGCAAGGCTAATATGACACTAAGTCTAGCAGTGTACAAGGTAATACATATTTTATGAAAAAGAGGATAAATAAATATACAAGGTATGATATAGCATGTAATGGAAGTAGTTTGTTGGATTATGTATTGGTGGATAAAAGGTTGTTGGGTAGGCTCCAGGATGTACATGTTTATAGAGGAGCAACTGATATATTGGATCATTATTTAATTGTAGGTACAGTTAGAGTAAGAGGTAGATGGGACAAGAGGAAAATGGCAACAACAAGTAAGAGAGAGGTTAAAGTGTATAAACTAAGGGAGGAGGAAGTTCGGATGAGATATAAGCAACTATTGGCAGAAAGGTGGGCTAGTGCAAGTATGGGGAGTAGGGGGGTTGAAGGGGGTTGGAATAGTTTTAAAAATGCAGTATTAGAATGTGGGGCAGAAGTTTGTGGTTATAGGAGAGTGGGTGCAGAAGGAAAGAAGAGTGATTGGTGGAATGATGAAGTAAACGGTGTGATAAGAGAGAAAAAGTTTGCTTATGAGAGGTTTTTACAAAGCAGAAGTGTTATAAGAAGAGTAGAGCAGTATATGGAGAGTAAAAGAAAGGTGAAGAGAGTACTGGCAGAGTGCAGAAGGAGAGCAGATGATAGAGTGGGAGAGGCACTGTCAAGAAATTTTAATGAAAATAAGAACGAATTTTTGAGTTAAACAAGTTAAGAAAGCCTGGGGAACGAATGGATTTGTCAGTTAAAAACATTTAGTAGGTGGGGAGATGGAGGTATTGGGTAGATGGCGAGAATATTTTGAGGAACTTTTAAATGTTGGAGAAGGGAGGCGATAATTTCATGCATTGGCCAGGGAAGTATACCATCTTTTAGGAGTGAAGAAGAGCAAGATTTGAGTGTGGGGGAGGTGCATGAGGCATTACGTAGGATGAAAGAGGGTAAAGCAGCTGGAACCGATGGGATCATGACAGAAATGTTAAAAGCAGGGGGATATAGTGTTAGTGGTTGGTATTTTTGTTTAGTAAATGTATGAAAGAGGGGAAGGTACCTAGGGATTGACAGAGAGCATGTATAGTTCCTTTATATAAAGGGAACGGGGACAAAAGAGATTGTAAAAATTATAGAGGAATTAGTTTACTGAGTATAGCAGGAAAAGTGTATGGTAGGGTTATTATTAAAGCAATTAGAGGTAAGACAGAATGTAGGATTGTGGATGAGCAAGGAGGTTTTAGAGTGGGTAGGGGATGTGTAGATCAAGTGTTTACATTGAAGCATATATTTTTTTTTATTATCACACTGGCCGATTCCCACCAAGGCAGGGTGGCCCGAAAAAGAAAAACTTTCACCATCATTCACTCCATCACTGTCTTGCCAGAAGGGTGCTTTACACTACAGTTTTTAAACTGCAACATTAACACCCCTCCTTCAGACTGCAGGCACTGTACTTCCCATCTCCAGGACTCAAGTCTGGCCTGCCGGTTTCCCTGAACCCCTTCATAAATGTTACTTTGCTCACACTCCAACAGCACGTCAAGTATTAAAAGCCATTTGTCTCCATTCACTCCTATCAAACACGCTCACGCATACCTGCTGGAAGTCCAAGCCCCTCGCACACAAAACCTCCTTTACCCCCTCTCTCCAACCTTTCCTAGGCCGACCCCTACCCCGCCTTCCTTCCACTACAGACTGATACACTCTTGAAGTCACTCTGTTTCGCTCCATTCTCTCTACATGTCCGAACCACCTCAACAACCCTTCCTCAGCCCTCTGGACAACAGTTTTGGTAATCCCGCACCTCCTCCTAACTTCCAAACTACAAATTCTCTGCATTATATTCACACCACACATTGCCCTCAGACATGACATCTCCACTGCCTCCAGCCTTCTCCTCGCTGCAACATTCATCACCCATGCTTCACACCCATATAAGAGCGTTGGTAAAACTATACTCTCATACATTCCCCTCTTTGCCTCCAAGGACAAAGTTCTTTGTCTCCACAGACTCCTAAGTGCACCACTCACTCTTTTTTCCCTCATCAATTCTATGATTCACCTCATCTTTCATAGACCCATCCGCTGACACGTCCACTCCCAAATATCTGAATACATTCACCTCCTCCATACTCTCTCCCTCCAATCTGATATTCAATCTTTCATCACCTAATCTTTTTGTTATCCTCATAACCTTACTCTTTCCTGTATTCACTTTTAATTTTCTTCTTTTGCACACCCTACCAAATTCATCCACCAATCTCTGCAACTTCTCTTCAGAATCTCCCAAGAGCACAGTGTCATCAGCAAAGAGCAGCTGTGACAACTCCCACTTTTTGTGTGATTCTTTATCTTTTAACTCCATATATGTGAACAGTATTTAGATAAAGGTAGGGAAGTTTTCATTGCAGTTATGGATTTAGAAAAGGCATATGATAGAGTGGATAGGGGAGCAATGTGGCAGATGTTGCAAATATATGGAATAGGTGGTAAGTTACTAAATGCTGTAAAGAGATTTTATGAGGATAGTGAGAGTGATTATTATTACATAATAGAGAGATGTGCTCATGGAGAATGTAAACAAACCAGGTGGCCCGCGCCGTATTTGAAAGATCACTTGCCGTATAGAAAATTTTGGTCATAATTTGAGATCACTGTTAGCAAAATGCTGTAAGGCGAAACGCCGAGAAGCGGGGCCCTACTGTAATATAAATAATGCATAGTTTTACAAAGTGGCAACCAATATGTAACATAATTTTAGATAATTTGTGTTATGACTTCTTTTTTTAAGCAATATAGATACAGAATTTTGAGATGAATGGTTTTCCATTTTTTTTTTCTTTTTTTTTTTTTGAATAGCCACAAATGCTTGTTTTGCTTGTCATATGAAGTTGTGTTTTAGTGAATATTATTATTTTTTGTTTCTTCCTTAAGAATATTGTAAATATTGCTGTATTAAATCTATGCTGTAGTTGCTTAATCCCAACCAAACAAATGTGAGCACTCTTCACATGCCTTAAATAAATACAGTACTGTGGTAAGTACTGTAGTCCTCTATATTGGAAAAGGAAATCCATGCTAGTCATTAATTAGTTCCAAAGTACCAGTGTTGTAAAAGTAGAACGTCATAAGTCCGGGACCTGTCGTATACTTAGTATTAAATAAAACAAAGCTCTGTACAGTTATATACATGTATTTTTTTTCTTAGATTTAATACTTTGGTTTGGAAGGAAAAGATTTTTTAACTTTTTTTATTTTAAATATTTAAGCTAGCTGTTCGCACACCAATTCATGCCCCCACTGGGCAATCCTCTTGAAAAATTACTGTGTTAGTGCTCATGTTAATACATTTTTTTTTAATAAACTGGCCATCTCCCACCAAGGTATGGCCTCCCATTAAAAGAAGCATGAAAGTTAAGACACATGTGCAACATCTGGATATCTTAATTGTAGTAGACGTTTCGCCATCCAGTGGCTTTATCAATACAGATTCTAGGACATAATAGGAAGACAGTAGAACTATATACAAAAGATGAGGTAATCAGTCCCTCGGCCTTGGAGTTAGTGTTCACAGCATCGTGGTGGAGGAGAATCTGGAGCAAAGACAAGAAGACTGGCGGTTATATAGGCGTCAGTGGATAGGCCCGTCCCTATCCACTGACGCCTATATAACCGCCAGTCTTCTTGTCTTTGCTCCAGATTCTCCTCCACCACGATGCTGTGAACACTAACTCCAAGGCCGAGGGACTGATTACCTCATCTTTAGTATATAGTTCTACTGTCTTCCTATTATGTCCTAGAATCTGTATTGATAAAGCCACTGGATGGCGAAACGTCTACTACAATAAAGATATCCAGATGTTGCACATGTGTCTTAACTTTCATATTGTCGGTATTTTATACCTTTCTTGCACAAAAGAAGCATATTCACCATCAATCATGATAAAATATATTTATAAAAAAGGTGTATGCAAGTCATATAAAGTTACCTTGGATAGGTTTTCTGTATACTTGCATACATCACAGGCCCTTTTAATATTTTGTCACAAATTTTATGTACTTCATGTGGTAAATGTTTCTAGTAATCTAACAGGTTTCTTCAACAATTGAAGGCATTTGAGATATCTTTGGAAGAGTCCACATACAACTGCCTTTTATCAGTGGCAGCATATAAAAGGCCATTGACTGAAACTGATTCAGATTTTTTCTATGCAGTGTATGTTATGCATTGTATGTTATACTGTGGATACAACAGTTGATTTGAGATAGTTGCTTCATGTACTCTGTAATTCATAAGGGATAAAATATGGTACAGTATTTTATTATTTTACTGAAGTGCTCTTGATGGATGCTAAACTGTACAGCTCTGTTTTACCATGTGTTTCATTCTGTTTATCAGCAAGTTGTGTTGTAGTGATCAGTATTCATTACATTGATGCCATCATAGATACAGTATACTTTCACCCTTTGCAAAATTTGAATATATTCCATGAGAAAAAAAATCATCCATACTGAGTTATATGAAAATACTTCTATTAAGAAAGTTGTTCTGAAGTTCAGTATCTGCAAATGTCTGTTGACTGTTGGTTTTTGTTATATGTACTATTTGGATAAAGTACATCCAAATGTAGAGTGAGAGAGTTAAATGCTTATTTTCTCCTTACAAATGTGTGTGTTTCCCATATGTATGCCTTTCTAATGTAAATATCATTACTTCCAACAGCCACCCCTCAAAGCCAGGATGTTGTGGTTAAAACTGTGGCCTGGACATTAGGCACACTCATCTGTATTGTGATTGTTATTACCTTGCTCTTCTACCTCTACCGACGGCAGAAAATGGTCAGTAAATGTTAACACGTTTGAAAGTTGAGGCTTATTTAAGGAGATTTTTTTTGTTGTTGGTAAAATATACTTATTCAGAACAAAGATAACAGACAGCATGGACAATTTCTTAATAGTTTGATCTGTAAAAAGTTTTTTCATGGTGTGTTAAGAAAACTGTTATATTTCTACGAAGAATGTTATGCATGGGCATTCATTGGGGGGTAACATTTATTTTTGATGTGACACTTAGAGTCAGTGGTGCAGTATGTCAGGTCTTTGTTGGGTTTCTGTTAATGTTTGGAATATATTGGGATGAAGAAGTATGAGAGATGAGAAAAATAATTGGTGAATATTTGAAATTAATTTGTCACAGTTGTGTTATTGAATATACATACAGTGGTCCCTCGATAATCGTCGGGCTCGATAGTCGTCCTTTTCGGAAATCGTCGCGTTATTTTAGTCCAAACATTGGCTTGCAAATGGTCGGTTGACTCGCTAATCGTTGTTCGTCCTGGACGTGTACTCACGGCTCTGAGCCACCTCGGCCTCCCTTCCCAGCCAGTGTGCCATTGTTTACCAGTGAGCGACGGTCCCCTCACGTGTTCATACGAAATATTTCATAATATTCCATTCATTTTAGTGCTTGCAAGTGCTAAATAAGCTACCATGGCTCCAAAGAAAGCTTCTAGTGCCAAGCCTTTGGTAAAGAAGGTGAGAAATACGATTGAATTTAAGAAAAACATCATTGAACAATATGAAAGTGGCGTACGTGTGGCCGAACTGGCCAGGATGTATAACAAATCCCGTACAACCATATCTTCCATCGTGGCCAAGAAAAAGGAAATCAAGGAAGCTGTTGTTGCAAAGGGGGTAAATATGCTGACAAAAATGAGATCACCAGTATTCGAAGAGGTTGAGAAGTTATTATTGGTATGGATAAATGAGAAACAATTAGCAGGAGATACTCTTATGACATCGATTATTTGTTTAAAGGCTAGGCAGTTGCATGACGATCTGGTAAAGAAATTGCCTGCAACAAGTACTGATATTTGTGAATTTAAGGCCAGCAAAGGTTGATTTGAGAGATTTAAGAACCGTAGTGGCATACACAGTGTGATGAGGCATGGTGAGGCTGCCAGTTCGGACAAAATTGCAGCTACAAAATTCATAACTGAATTCAAGGAGTACATAGAGGCTGAAGGACTGAAACTGGAACAAGTTTTCAATTGTGATGAAACAAGCCTCTTTTGGAAGAAAATGCCAAAGAGGACCTACATTACTTAAGAGGAAAAGGGACTGCCAGGACACAAGCCTATGAAAGACAGGCTGACGCTCATTTTTTTTTTTTTTTTTTTTTTTTTTTTTCAACAAGTCGGCCGTCTCCCACCGAGGCAGGGTGACCCAAAAAAAAAAAAAAAGAAAGAAAATCCCCAAAAAGAAAATACTTTCATCATCATTCAACACTTTCACCACACTCACACATTATCACTGCTTTTGCAGAGGTGCTCAGAATACAACAGTTTAGAAGCATATACGTATAGAGATACACAACATATCCCTCCAAACTGCCAATATCCCAAACCCCTCCTTTAAAGTGCAGGCATTGTACTTCCCATTTCCAGGACTCAAGTCCGACTATATGAAAATAACCGGTTTCCCTGAATCCCTTCACTAAATATTACCCTGCTCACACTCCAACAGATCGTCAGGTCCCAAGTATCATTCGTCTCCATTCACTCCTATCTAACACGCTCATGTTCTGTGCTAATGCTAGTGGGGATTTCAAAGTGAAGCCGTTACTAGTGTACCATTCTGAAAATCCCAGTGTTCAAAAAAAACAATGTTATGAAGACTAAATTGTGTGTGTTTTGGAGATCTAATAATAAGGCATGGGTCACAAGGGAAATTTTCGTCGAGTGGTTCAATGAAGTGTTTGGCCCTAGTGTGAAGAATTACCTCCTGGAAAAGAAATTGGATCTCAAGTGCCTCCTAGTAATGGACAATGCACCTGCTCATTCTCCAAACTTGGATGACCTAATTTTGCAGGAGTTTGGGTTCATCACAGTAAAGTTCTTGCCCCCGAATACCACTCCTCTCCTCCAGCCCATGGACCAGCAGGTCATTTCAAACTTTAAAAAAACTCTACACCAAAGCAATGTTTCAAAGGTGTTTTAATGTGACCTCAGACACTCACTTGACCCTAAGTGAGTTTTGGAAAGAACACTTCAGTATCCTCCATTGCATAAGCCTTATAGGTAAGACTTGGGAGGGAGTGACTATCAGGAATTTGAACTCTGCCTGGAGAAAATTGTGGCCAGATTGTGTCCACAAGAGGGATTTTGAAGGGTTTGTGGCTGACCCTAATGAGCCCATGTCAGTTGCGAACTCTGTTGTGGCACTGGGGAGTTCCATGGGGTTGGATGTAAGTTTGGAGGATGTGGAAGAGTTGGTGGAGGACCACAACAAAGAGCTAACCACTGAGGAGCTGCAAGAGCTTCAGCAGGAACAGCAACAGATTGCAGCTCAGAATCTTGCTGCAGAGGAGGAGGAAAAGAGATGGAAGGTGCCTTCTTCAAAAATTAAGGAGATTTTTGAAATGTGGGGTAGGATGGAAAGATTTATGGAGAAACATCACCCTGGAGGGATATGTTGTGTATCTTTATATGTGTATGCTTCTAAACTGTGTATTCTGAGCACCTCTGCAAAAACAGTGATAATGTGCGAGTGTGGTGAAAGTGTTGAATGATGATGAAAGTATTTTCTTTTTGGGGATTTTCTTTCTTTTTTGGGTCACCCTGCCTCGGTGGGAGACGGCCGACTTGTTGAAAAAAAAAAAAAATTCAGGGAAACCGGTTATTTTCATATAGTCGGACTTGAGTCCTGGAAATGGGAAGTACAATGCCTGCGCTTTAAAGGAGGGGTTTGGGATATTGGCAGTTTGGAGGGATATGTTGTGTATCTTTATACGTATATGCCTCTAAACTGTTGTATTTTGAGCACATCTGCAAAAACAATAATAATGTGTGAGTGTGGTGAAAGTGTTGAATGATGATGAAAGTATTTTTTTGGGGGGGATTTTCTTTCTTTTATGGGTCACCCTGCCTCGGTGGGAGACGGCCGACTTGTTGAAAAAAAAAAAAAAAATCACCCTGAGAAGGATATTGCAAGCCATATCGGCAACTTGTACAGCAACAGAGTCTTGGCCCATTTTAGGGAAGTTTTAAAGAGATGCCAGAAACAGAGCTCTCTGGACACTTTTTTTGCGAGAAAGGACTCAGTGACTCTCAAGTTGGTCCTAGTGGCATTAAGAAACAGAGAAGAAAAGTAACCCTAGAAAAGGACTTGGTTCCTAATGTGTTGATGGAAGGGGATTTCCCTTCCAAACGGTAACTAATCAAATCTCTCTCCTCTTCCAGTCTTCCATACACTAAGAAGAATTGCTAATGAAGGTAAGTGTTACGCTGTTAATGTTTCATTCATTATGTCCTATTGTATTGTTTATGTACTACATCTGTATTTCACGTAAAAAAAATTTTTGTTTTAATACTTCTGGGTGTCAGGAACGGATTAATTGTATTTACATTATTTCTTATGGGGAAAATTGATAAGAAAATAGTCTTTCGATAATCGTCACACTTCCAGGAACGGATTAACGACGATAAACGAGGGACCACTGTATTTGATTATACTTATTAATTAACCGTAAATGGTCCAAGCAGATCTACGTTCACATGTGTAGTGCTACAAAAGTAGATCTAAGTTTTTTTTTACATATTTTCAAATATAACAAAAAAAAAGTAGATCAAAGTTTTTTTACACATTTTCAAATGTAGAAAAACAAAAAGATCTACTTTTTTTACATACTTTCAAATGTTGAAAAATACGTATATATATACGTTTGGACAGTTTACGGGTTAAGAGTCAAGCAATTAGTCATTCAGACTACTTAATGATTTCAGTGAAGAATGCATCATGGGGGTATTGAAAAGGTTTGTATGAGTGTATGAAATATTCATATTTTATAGCTTTATGATTGAATAAAATTTACTAATTAATTATTCAGGAGACGATATATTGGATGATCTGATTTTATTAATAGATGCTTACCAGTTAGAGAATGCATTCCATGACACCTGCAATTGGAAGGGAATCTGTAAAAGTGTTTATGTATCCAAAGTATGATCATTTTTTTTATTGGTAATGAATAATGGGAAAAAAATCAGTGCTATTATACCTGTTGTGTTGAGGTAAAGATGTTGCATGTGTTGGATCATTAAGGACTGCACTCACCATATGTGGTAATGCTTGGGTTGATTGACCTTTGCAACCAGTAACATACTGCTTACTGTCTCCTTTGTAGGTGTCTAGATGCCAGGGGTGCAAATGTGAGTAAATGCCATTGTAATTTTTCCTTGTTTCCACCATCAAAGTTTAGTATTACAGACAACTCAGAATGGGGCAGGATTGACAATTTTTTCTTTTTTCAACAAGTCGGCCGTCTCCCACCGAGGCAGGGTGACCCAAAAAAGAAAGAAAATCCCCAAAAAGAAAATACTTTCATCATCATTCAACACTTTCACCACACTCGCACATTATCACTGTTTTTGCAGAGGTGCTCAGAATACACAGTTTAGAAGCATACACATATAAAGATACACAACATATCCCTCCAAACTGCCAATATCCCAAACCCCTCCTTTAAAGTGCAGGCATTGTACTTCCCATTTCCAGGACTCAAGTCCGACTATATGAAAATAACCGGTTTCCCTGAATCCCTTCACTAAATATTACCCTGCTCACACTCCAACAGATCGTCATGTCCCAAGTACCATTCGTCTCCATTCACTCCTATCTAACACGCTCACGCACGCTTGCTGGAAGTCCAAGCCCCTTGCCCACAAAACCTCCTTTACCCCCTCCAACCCTTTCGAGGACGACCCGTACCCCGCCTTCCTTCCCCTATAGATTTATATGCTTTCCATGTCATTCTACTTTGATCCATTCTCTCTAAATGA